TTAGGGATCAACCAAAGTTTAATGAAGATCCCAGCAAACCGGATGCTCCTTTATTATACTCCACCAAATAAGACTTAAAAAACATAGTACCAAGACATGAAGATGGCTTGGTAATTATGGGAACTTTGGTGAACTGTCGGGTTAAGAAGATCTTCGTAGATGCCGGCAGTTGTGCTGATATTATCCTTTGGATGATAATTTCTTCTCTCATGTCCAATTCAACCATGTTAACTAGTTTGCTTGGATGTTGAGAGGTCATATGCTTCCCCGCTTTATCTCCTGGACGAATCCGAGGTAGAGTTAAGTGTCCACCTTTATTTTCTTTAACAGCTTCAAAATAACATTGTTGTGATTCCTTTTGATCCCCCTGAATAGTGATGACCTCATTCTTATTGTCACCATCTCCAACTTTTGATGCTTAGTGGAATCCAGTATATCCCATTTATGAAGGGTTGGCCTCCTTAAGATGATATCGTATGGAGAGGGATGTCGGCTATTATGAACCTTGCTTGTTTAGACTTAAATGCCTCATTCGTTCCCAGAGTTAATCGGAGATCTATATATCCTTTAGGGGGTGTATTTTCCCCATTAAAGGCTATCAACGTAGTCTTACACGGCTTGAGGTCTTCTTCATCTAAATTCATCCTTTTGAAAGCGTCCCAAAGGATAATATCAGCACAACTGCCGGCATCTACGAAGATGAAACATAAAGCTTAAAAGACATATACAACTAGACTTAAGCAAAATGACATGAACAAATATAACTATGAAACTCATCCTACATACATATGGGATGTTCATGCCCTAAGTCTAGCCTAGGCCAAATGGCCATCAAAATGCAAAAGTGCAAGTCCTCCAATGACTCATCCTACGGGCTTTTTGCTCGTCGCTCCCGTGCCACTGCTACCTCCTGAAATAAAGCCTCCAAGACAGGGTGAGATATACGAATATATCTCAGTAACCCAGAGGTTCTGGAGAAAACTCCGCCCAATGGTTCACTTCGATGCATATAAATAATATAAAATAACCACTTTTGAAAACGGGATAAAGCAAGGGATTTAGAGAAACTGTGGAATATAGGAATACAAAATACGACGAAGCGGGAATGGTAGCTACCAATACCACGCAACTTCCTCGGCATATAAGCCTACGGGTCTCATCCAAGGCGTGTTTCAAGAACAACTAACCAATGTACCCCTCCCATCCGCATACACCTGAGACTTCCTAGTGTGCTTTTATCCGGATCACACACCACGACCCTGGGTCAACTGGAACTCCCTCTCGGAGACCTATCCAGTGGAAGTCTGAAACGCCCGAAGGCAAAAAATGTCTACTGGCCAGAGACTCAGTACATATGTACCCTCACAAATACTCAATGCATGCTCATGTCATTCTACATTTCTCATATACATTTCCTACCATCACCCTCAACGGGCATGGTGGAACACACAAGGGGGTTAAGCCCGAATACCAAGAGGTTACCTTAATAAGCCTCTCCACTTAGCTCCACAGCCGTATACTTCTCTGAGCTCTTTATACAGTAGAAATGCCTACACCGAGGACATTCCCAATTACTTAAAATTCATAAGAATACATGCAAGTTACCAACTATACAAGCATGATTCCAATCACTTACTTCACTCCCACTTGGTCCAGGACCAAGGGAAATCCACCGACTCACGGTTCGGGGTTCAAATCAGCATACAACAACCTACAATAACCATGTATGAATCGTCAGTACACGACAATTCTATCAAAACGCGAAAAATGTCAAAAACCTCCCCTACACCCTTGTAGGTTCGGCCAAACATGTGTAATTTTGAGCTTTAATTTTCTAAATTTTCTTTCTCATTTTCTTAGGCATTCATAGGTTGCTAAAAGACCATATCAAGTGCCATTTTTTATTTTACGTCTTTTAAACGTCGTTTTGCTTAATATTTTCCTCTAGGATCCTTTAAGGCATTTAACACCCTCAATTATTTTTCATTGATTCTTCCACTTTCCAACTACCACACAATCCATCTAAATACCATTTAATACATGATACATCATCCAAGCCATGCAAACAACATCAATTCCCTACAATTCTCTAAATGGCCGGATTGTGGCCTAAACAATTCCAACGGATCTTCACTCCATTTTAACCACTCTACACCTCATACAATCTCATTATATCAACATCCAATCATGCAACAACTCACCAATCCAATCCTAACACAATTTCAAAATCCAAAGTCATGATAACCTAAAATTTCTCTAAGTTAAAAATACACATTTTTCCTTAATTATTTTTATTGCATTTATGGTAATACACATTATTCTAAGACACATTCATGTACAAACATTTTTCCAATTGAGCTCTCTAAACACATCAATCAACTAAGCCCTCTTTAGGGTTCATAAATCAAATCACATAAATCAATCGTTTAAATACAAGGAAACTCACCCAAATGCAAGGCACAAGGCTCCTCCTAAACATACTCCACCATTGGAGCACCTAGAAGCTCCATGAACACAAATCTAACAACTTAAGCCGCGGCCTTGGGGAGGAAATATCTCACTTTCTAGTGGTTTTCAAGGTTCAAGGGTACCACCAATGGCTTTAGAATATGATTTCCAACAAAATTCAAGTTAAACTTTGTTGGATTTGGTTAGGATTTGGTGGAGTTATAAGGAAAAGAAAATTCAAACTTGCTTGGCCATGGTGGCTGCGTTTTGGGGTTGTTCCACGAAGAAGGGGCTGCTGTTTAGAGAGAGAAGGTGCAAGAAAAAAAAGCTTAAGTGACTTGGATTGCCACGCAGGCTCTAATAAGACGAAATACCACTTAAACAAGTCATTTAATCCATTTCCAGGGTGCAACTGTACGGAACAGTGCCCATTGTGCCACTGTTCCCACTGTTATTTACCTAAATGCCACGCACCTGAACTTTTTTCCCAAACTGCCACGCGGGCTAGTTCGCTGGGAGTAGTAGCGACCTCGTAATGCTGAGCTGTCAGCTTCCTGGTGGTGTTAGAGTTCGCGACTGACGCAGGCGACCTCTGTTGCAATTAATGCCTGACCAGCCAGGCCACGTGGCGTGCATGCAAGAGAGGTCGCGACTGACGCAGGCGACCTCTGTTGCAATTAATGCCTGACCAGCCAGGCCGCGTGGCGTGCATGAGCGAGGTCGCTGCCCACGCAGGCGACCTGTGCCCAACGACTACATTTTCACCCTATATAAACACCCCCCTCCCTTTCATACGCATCTCCCCATTTTCTTTCTCTCTCTCTCTCTTAATTTCCTTGCTCTCACATTTGGTCTTAAGTCTTCATTTGAGGTTAGTGATGTATCATTTGATTAATTTTTATTTTTTGTTTATTGTTAATTAGTTGTTGTTTAATATATTATATGTAACATAAAATATTAGGTTAGATGACATTTTAATTGTTTTATTATTTTAATTAGTTTAATATTAGTAGTTTAGTAATTACATTTTAATGTTAGTAGTTAAATAACATATTGTTTAATTAATGTATGTAATAAATTGTTTTATATGCGTTATTCATTTATAGGTTTTAGAAGAAGATAATTTTGATGATTAATGTTATGACACATTAGGTTAGATGACATATTATTTATTTTATTATTTGAATTATTCTAATATTAATAGTTTAGTAATTGCATGTTAATTTAAGTAGTTAAATATTTTATAATTTAATTAATCTATTTAATTTAATTGTTTTATTATTTTAATTAGTTTAATATTAGTAGCTTAGTAATTACATTTTAATGTTAGTAGTTAAATAACATATTGTTTAATTAATGTATGTAATAAATTGTTTTATATGCGTTATTTATTTATAGATTTTAGGGTAAGATAATTTTTATGATTAATGTTATGACACATTAGGTTAGATGACATATTATTTATTTTATTATTTGAATTATTCTAATATTAATAGTTTAGTAATTGCATGTTAATTTAAGTAGTTAAATATTTTATAGTTTAATTAATCTATTTAATAAATTATTTTATATGCATTTTTTATTAATAGGATTTAGTCAGGTTATATTTTTATATGTTAATGTGTCTATTTATGTAGTTAATAAGTTGTTAATTATGCAATAAATAATAATATTGAATTAAATAAAATAATTTATTTGTAGGATTGAAAAATAATTGGTGTTAACTTTGAACATTGACTTATATAATATGTATGTTAATGTTATTAGGTGTAGTACTTTTTATTAATGTATAATTTAATAATATTAATTGTTTGATATTATTTATAGTCTTGGCATCTAGGTTAGAAAAGAATTATTTTAATTTTGTTAGATTTTGTATTTACTAAAATTTAGATTATGCAATAATTAAAATAACCGAATTAAATAAAATTAGCGTGTTTTAGGGTTGACAAATAAATGTGACAAAGTCTTTTTACCACAATGTTTGTGTTTATTTAATTATTTTTTAGTAATTAGTATTTAATTTTAGTATTTCTTTATTAGTAATTAATTATGGAGTATAGAATAATTAATTGAACTTTAAAATTAATATATTTATTAATCAATTTTGTATTTATTATTTGTAAATAGATTCATGGAGCAACAGAACCCGCAACAGGACCCGCACCAGACCTTCATTGACCCTGGTCCATTGGTGCCGTCTCTCCTGACGTTGCAGGAGAAACACATTTCGACGTACGTATGGAACAGATCTGGTGACGCAAATTCAGATGATCGTGTACTGAACGTCAGACACGCTGCTTCATGGGATCATTTAAATATACCCGAGGAGATCCATCCTTACCTGCAGCAGGCAGGGTTTTATCACATTGCGCGTCTGCGCAACCATGAGTTTGGTGATACATAGAGTAGATAAATAAAAAAATTACATGTTGTATAGTTAATCAATTGTGATAAAATGTAAAATAATTTTTTATTGTCAGATTGACCACCATCTCATTTCGGCCCTTGTGGAGAGATGGCGTCCTGAGACGCGCACATTCCATATGTCCATGGGTGAGGTGACGATTACTCTGGAGGATGTCCACCATCTGCTTGGACTGCCTACAGATGGAGAGGTTGTATCTGGCCGCGTTGGAGGTCATCCCTTCTCCCAGATGGTGGGAGGTTTTTTGGGCGTTCGGCCGGGTCGGTCGCGCGACTTATATAAAAACCAAATTTCGCTTACATTTCTGAGGGAACGGTATCTAAATTGGCATGAATGGTCTGGCAATGAAGTTGACCGTATGCGATACACACGTGCATTGATTTTGCGCATTATAGGTGGTTGCCTCTTCGTTGAGACTGCATCTAGTTTCGTCCATGCGCGGTATCTCCTATTTTTGGATGATTTTCAGAGGACTAGGACGTATTCTTGGGGTTCCACTGTCCTGGCTACTTTGTACAGGGAGTTGTGCAAGGTTACTGACCCAGGACGATCGGATATGGGTGGCTGTACTCTGTTACTACAATTGTGGGCATGGACACGTTTCCCTACTATCTCCCCAGGAATCCCAGCGATCACCGATCCAGATGCTATTTTTGGAGCAAGGTATGTCTGGTTTTTTTGTTTGTCTTCATTTTCACTATCTGTTACGTTAATTAGTAATTTTTATTGTGTTATTGTTTTGCAGGTTTAATGAATATGTGTCCATACGACGTCGTTACTCCCACATCAGACGATATCGTCATCACATTGACGTTATGCTTACCCGCAGGATACAGTGGAGGCCATACGACGGATTCGTTGGGCATCCCCCCTCGTCCGAGGAGTCACGCAGATGGTTAGCTGTATGCCCACTCATACACTACCAGATTGTTGTCTACCAGCAGCCGGATAGAGTGCTGAGGCAATTTCATTTTAGGCAGCCGATACCGAGCGATCCTTTCATGAGTTCAGAGCTGCTGACCATCACCCTGACTGGTAAGGGTGATGTTGACTGGAGGGACCGTCATGGACTTTATATAGCGCAGTGGCATTCCAGGGATGCCCTCATTGTGCAGGGTCTACAACCCTTGCAGGGAGAAGGTCATCTGTCTCTCAACAGCACGTACATGCAGTGGTATTTTCAGCATACGCGTAGATGGATGATGCAGAGATCGGCCATTCGTTCTCATGTGGTACGTTAATTTTAGCCCTTGTCATTAATATTGTTACATTTTGTATTTTTTTTTTGTAATGACATCATACAATTAACATTATATTCGCTTCACAGAGTGATCGCATGGAGACTGTTCTGCATATGGCATCAGACGAGGCCCAAGGAGCATTCACATATCGCCAGATATACGATGAGACCCTTCAGATGATGTCCGCATTCGATGAGTTTGGCAGACTGACAGCGCCTGGAGAGGCTGCACCTCCGCCGGCAGTGGTGCAGACAGTGGAACCGCCTCGTCATCCGCGTGTTAGCCAGCGTGCACGCCACGAGGGACTGCCACTGCATCATCAGGCTCCCACTATGGCTGATAGGCCTGTGCTTGTGCAGTCTCTTCCCCCCGTCCAGCCGGTCAGTTTTATGCCCCAGCTTACCCACATTCGATTCCCCTGCCGTCATGGCCACACCGGAGGCATTTTCGGCTGACTTCTTTCAGTCACCCTCATCTGGTCCTACAGGTTTGCTTGCGCAGGAGGACATTGCGGGTACTGTGGACGATATTGATGCAGACCCAGGAGCGGAAGCAGACGTTGCACCCGGAGGAGACGGTGAAGACGTGGTCAGGCGTAATCCAGATAGACAGGCCAGGGAGCGCTGTTTCTTGTCACCATATGAGCATAACCAGGCACGTTGTGCCAAGTATCATGGGCGGCCGCGACAGCAGTGATTTGTTGTTTTATCATAGGACTTTTTATTTTATCAGAGCATTCATATGTATGTAAATGATCTGTTTTGGACTCCATCCTTTGATTTCCATTTATTACTGTATGCTGACTATTATGTTATTGTTAGATTCATGTGGTGTTATGTGCTATCCCTAGTTAACTATCCGAAAAGAAAATTATGAAACCAGTAAGCACACGATGATCATATTAATTAACATATTACATTCAATAAACATCACGACTAACGACAACCCATAATCAAATAAAAGCAGGCATAATTATAAAACGAAACAAAAAAACGTGTGACAACACACAGGCAAAAGAGGGTAACCAACGTTTCGACAAGTTTGTTTCACGCAACATTTAATTGCCTTGCAAGCGAGATGGACAACGACGTCTGTCATGGCCAACAACCCTACAATAACCACATCTTACCTGCTGGCTCACACCCTCGCGCTGATCCATTTCATTACGGATTCGGGTACTTCGCGGCCTGCCTTTTTTACGTCTAAGTGACACATCCGGGAGAATTGTTGGGCCTTGGCTGGGTGGGATGAAGTCTTCATTACCAATTGGATACCATTGCCCGGAATATACCTGGCATTGATATGACGCACTATATGCAGGATCAATGTATTGTAAGGGGTCATGATTTACTGATTTGCACGCAGCAATCACATGACTACATGGGTACCTAAAAGCAGTAAACTCACCACATTGACAGGCACGATCCTGTAATGAAACCCACCATTTCTTTCCTCCTCTATGAGTTCTTTGATTGTAAGACTCTTGAACTTCAAATCGTGTTTTTTGTCTGTCATACGATGTAACAAAGTGTGTTGCAGCATTTTGTTGGTTTTTAACATATTCAACCCAGAACACTTTGGCGAAACGATTACCTTTGTCCATCTCTTCCCGAGCCTCCTGCCCGTGGGCCAAAAAATATTCGTTAAGCCTAGCGTACGTGATGCGCACCAAAGACGTGATTGGTAAGTTTCTAGCACCTTTAAGAACCTTGTTAACACACTCCGACAAGTTTGTAGTCATATGGCCAAATCGCCTTCCTTCAGCATCGTATGATATACTCCATTTTTCCTTCGGAATTCGATCAATCCATGCTGCTATCTGTGGGCTTGATTCTTTAAATTTTTCCAAACCAGCGTCAAAATCCAATCGCGATGTAGTGTAGCCTGTACATGACAACACATAATTGTTAATAACTAATAACATCAGCGTCATACGATCATTGTAACAAATTAATAAAATTCTAGTGACATCCATACCTAACTTCTTTAACTGCTTCTTCAACATGATGTTTTTGAACTTATGATTGAAATTGCTTGCCAGATGTATCACGCAAAAAACATGGTACGCTTTGGGTGGTTGCCACCCTAGCGCAACATTATTGACGGCTGCCAATATACCTGCATGTCGATCAGAAATAAGGCATATTCCATCTTTCTGAGTCACATGGATCCGTAACATGGCCAAAAACCAGGACCAATTGTCAATATTCTCACAACTAACAACAGCAAACGCTACAGGCAGGACATAATTGTTACTGTCAACAGCTGTAGCGATCATTAGCGTTCCGCGGTATTTTCCATACAAATGTGTCCCATCGATTTGGAGCATAGGCTTGCAATAATTAAAGGCATCACAACACTGTTTGAATGTCCAAAAAACCCTTTTAAACACCTTGTGCGAACCATCGAGCCGACCATCAATCCTATGTTCATTCACATTCGGTTTATAGGCAGACCCAGGAGAAAACAATAACATATAATCCAACCATCTTGGCAGAAACGCGTACGACTCAGCCCAATCCCCAAATACCCTCACAATTGCCTTCTGCTTTGATTTCCAGGCTTTTCGGTATGATATATGAAATCCTAGACTTGATGCAATCCTCTCCTGTATTAACCCAATTTTAACACTAGGCTCTTCACGTATCATTTCTGCGGTTTGACAAACAACGTATTAGCGTTACACTCACAATATTAATTTAAACATTTACCAGATGGTTGACTTACCTATGATCAATTCACAAATGAAACTAGAGTTAAGTTGTTTGTGATCTTGTGAAAGTGTTTGAGATACACACGTATGGATGTTGTTCCACACGCCTATTATCCATTCATGACCGCCTTTTTTCATATATGCTCGCATCCTCCACGGACAACCATCATTGTGATTTTGACAAATCATTATCAGCCTTTGCGTATCACTTTTTAGTACGACAGTTGTGCGATTTTTTGCCATACAATACTGTTTGATGGCCATTTGTACATCCTGCTTGCTTTCAAATTGCTGGTCCTTATAAAGCTCTTGACCCATTTTCCAATTTGGTACTTGTGCCCCTTGCATGTCATCACACTCTTGATCGGGGTGTGCCCAGTTAATGTGCGTGTAATGTGGTATTTTTGACCAAAATGGAACATTATCCACTGCTTTTTAACACACATTTCAAATGTCGTTAAGTAAATAAAAATATAATTAAACTGAAACAGTAAACTATCTTAAAACTCAAATGGTAAACTACCTAACCTGCAGCAGGTGGTGGGTCATGCGCACCAATAATACCCGGTGATGGAATCGGTTGAACCAAAGCAGTGGACGTATCCAACTCGAAATCACCATCAACGTCTGTATCCGACGAGTCACTGTCAGGGACTAGACCTTCATCAACCTCCTCCTCGGAACTATCAGTACGCCCCGATGGATCATCTACTTCATTGGCATGAATCACATCTAAAGGTTGTGTTATTGGGGGAGATGATGGTGGGGGTGACACATTCATATCTTCCGCATCTACTTCCGGCTCTTTGTTAATGTCTATGGAGTGACTGGTAGGGATGAAACATTGAGTGCTTACCTCTCCACCGTTGTTTAGTTCCGCATATAACTCGATGTATGAGGACTCTCCATGCTGTCAAAATGCATCAACTACTAGTGACACATCTTCATCCTCAACCACCTCCACAGCAACCCATTGCACGGGGTTACCAGAAGCACATCTAACAATCAGTCGAGACAAGGATTGACCTCGTTGTAATCTCAACTTCTTGTATATTATTTTCTTGAGCTCATTATATTTGCAACGCGGACTCATGCGGAAGATCTTCGTATCTCCTTCAAACACTTGACCATTCGGTCCAAAATATCTTCTCCCATTGTAATATAGAAGGCATATTACATCATTGTTATTCTCACTCATTATGTACTGAAAATAGAATTCACACACAGAAATGGAAAAATTTCTTTTGAAAATGAACGAGAGAATGAATGACTGATCGAGGAAGGGGGTCTAAATTATATAACACAGAGTTCGCTTTATGGCCCAGCGACTTGTAGCTGTCGGCAAGTAGTTCGCTGACAAAGGCAGCGGACTTCGAGGGAACTGCCACGTGGCACCTAGGTCGCCTTGGCCCCCAGCGAACTTGTCTGGGTTCAAACACGTTCCATCTAGGTCGCTTGCGTAGGCAGCGAACTCAAAATACGTTGCAGGCTTTTATCACCCAAGTTCGCGGCTGACACAAGCGAACTTGAGAACCAACAGCTTACTGACACATCATCATGCCTAGTTCGCTACTACTCCCAGCGAACTAGCCCGCGTGGCAGTTTGGGAAAAAAGTTCAGGTGCGTGGCATTTAGGTAAATAACAGTGGGAACAGTGGCACAATGGTCACTGTTCCCAACTATACCGCGATATTTTTACCTGGTAAAAATACTATTCACTAAATTTTCTGAAACTTGCCTAACCACTCAATTTTTCGTTATGAACCCATTTCCAGGGTTATTTTTATCATCTGAGACTTTCTACTCAATTTTTATCTTCCTTGGGTTGCGTGTTGGCTAATTACCGTTTTGCCCTTTCTTTGTATTTTGGCCTAATTTTCAGGATTTTCACTAATCTTTCCCTTTAATCCTCATTTAATATTTTAATATATATAATTTAGAATTGTGAGGTGTTATAGCGATCCAACGTATACACACGCCCGGTAGCAGGTGGCACTGCAGGTGCCGAAGTAGGTGGAAGGGGAACCATCTGTAGTGGAACTGCCTGAACTGCTGCAGCTCTCGCCGTCGACGACGGACAATCTCTAGAGTAGTGGCCCTCTTTGCCACAGAGAAAACAGATCAGCTGACCCGTAGCACAACGTCCTGCATGCTCCTTTCCGCACACGAACACCTAGGAGTGGAAAGAGGCCTAGCAAAACCTCCCTGCTGCGAAGAAGTCCTCTTGAACTGGTCAGGCGCCTGCCTAGCCGCAAACTGCTTCCCTTTTCCCTTTCCAGCAAACTTCCTGTCTTTCCAGGAAGTGGAACTACTCGTTCCCTTCGTCTCAGCAATCTTGGCCCTCTTGGCCTTACTCGTAATACAGACATCCTCGATGTCCCGACACTGCTGTACCAGTGTCCCAAAATCTCTCGAATCCGCTCCAGCAAGGGGAACAACTATCTCCTCGCTAGGTCCCATACAGAACTTAGCAGCCAAGAAAGTCGGAGTAGGCATAGCCATCCAAAAGTGTGCAAATTTCACCAGCTCATTAAACTTTGCCAGGTACTCATCAACAGACAACGAGCCCTGCACCAACCTGTCAAACTCTCCCTACTTCCTCTCCTGCGCATCATACGGGAAGTACCGACCTAGAAAGGAATCCTCGAAGAATGGCCAGGTCATAACATGACCCTGCATCTCAAAATCGTGAGAGGTGTTCATCCACCACTCATGGGCATCGCCCTCCAGCATATACGTGGCGAACATCAGATTCTGCGGATCAGTACACTGCATGACCCGGAAGATCTTATCCAGCGCCTGTAGCCATCTCGTCGCAGCAATAGGATCATAAGACCTATCAAAGGAAGGTGGCTTATGCTTGCGGAAAGCATTAAGCCGGCGATCAATCACATCACGGTCTTCAGCAGGCTCCACATAGGGTTCCATCACCCCAGTGAGTTGACCAGTGCCCTCAACATGACTCTGGCTGTCATCCTGAAGACTAGGTGGAGGTGGCGGTGGTGGCGGTGACGGTGGCGGTGGCGGTGGCGGTGGTGGCAGTGGAGGTGGTGGCGATGGGAACTGACCCTCATTGCGGCCATCCCGCATCTCCTCCAACATGACCCTCATCATGGTCATGTTCGCCAGTCTGCTTGCCTCAAGGACATCCTTTGTGGCCTTTCGGTTCGCCTCTCGAATGGCGTCCATCATTGCCACATTGGCCAATCTAGTGGCCTCCTGATCGGCTAGCCTAGCCGCCTGCATCTCAGCCAATGCAGTCAGGACAGGATCTGACTGATCCTCGTTCGTCTCGCGGTTTCTCCTAGGATTTACCATGACTCCGCACAAGTTACACAAAGAATGTGTTGATCAGGCCCACACAATGTGGTCACACATGCATTATCATAGCAAAACCCAACGGAGGAAACACATAAGACAGACTCGCAACAAACAATCATAAGTTATTGCAATACAAACAAGCTTTTCCCAAGAAAGTGCTCTGATACCACTTGTAACGTCCGGCCGCTTCAAGAATCAATAACTATCCTCACATACTAACACGAGACTTTTCAGTGTCCTTTTTCCTCACTCGCACACATCCCATAATTGCTCCAAGTCAAGCACGCTTAACTATGGAGTTCTTCCGTTCCGGGCTACCGAAAAGTAAATACATCTTGTTAGTATAGGTGGTACCAATTAATTCTTATAAGCTATCACAAACTGTGCAGTCCCATACCTGCACAGTCTTTGGAATCCCTCTTTTTCGGGTGTCGATTCGATTCATTCATGCATGTAACCCCCTGCTGGAAGCCTGTCAGGAGCCGCTCCTTATCCGTGCCTCTTTGCACCAGCAATCACTCCCCGCCCTCGTCAGTGCTCGGAATGTTACATGCCCACCAACTTCCACCTGGTTCGTCCTCGAACCACACCGTATTGGAAGAGAGGCCCTGCTCTGATACCATAAAATGTAACACCCCGTGTATACCCGGTTTGTTAACATGTAATCGTATTAAGCCACGCTTAATTAAAATTGCGTAATATCTTTTTCTTTTCAATTATGACGTCATTAAGCTTAGCCAAGTTGATTACTTAATCAATTTCATAAAAACATCGCCTGTATGTAAATTGCAAAAGACAGCTAACTGAAATACCTCAATAGATAAATAAGTGAGTATCTAAGTCACGGATCTACAACCCGTAGTCCAGACAACATCCTAATACATTAATACAACTTGCATCTAAAAATATAAAGTCAAGTCAATGTGGCATGGACAAACTCTATGCTCACCAAATGGACAACGAAACCAACAGAGTCTCAACACAGTAATCCATAAAGCTAATGACATAAAAGCTACAGACATAATCCAGCATTCAAGCATAGTCAGCGTACATAAGCAGATAAACATCAATCAACTAAGCTCCGGCCTCCTGCTGCTAGAGGTCTCACCCCTGGATTACCTGAACCTGAAATAAGCGCCCCAAACGTGGGGTGAGATCTCTAAACAGAAATCTCGGTAAGACAAGGGGTCCTCAAGGATCTTCCACCCCAAGCTCACTTACATGTGCAATATAAGTTCCAAAAACAGTTAAACAGAATAAGTTCCAAAACAGTGCAATGCAGCAGATAATCATGTCATGTGTGTTATAACTAATCTACTGGCCAGAAAAATGAAGGAATACGTCTATTACCCATACTAGTGCAAGACGCCACTTGCACCCACCCACAGTGTCACCGTCTTGTATGACGCCACATACTTAGGCTAACCGTCTAAGTGGAACAACACATACATATTATAAGGAATTGCACATAAAGCTCAACAACATTTTCAATTATCAAAGCATGTAAACACATCATGCATATAAACCATTCCACCATGGGGTATGGTGGAACCACACAATGGCTAAACCGAGGACACGAAAGCTTACCTTGCAAGCTAACAATCCAAGCCAAGAGTCCAATCAAGCTCAAAGCCCAAACACAACAGAATCACAATCTGTTTTGGACCAGCAATCATATCAATATTCAAACATACAAGCATATGACATAAAGACAATGCATTTCCTTTACGTTTCATGTCTTTAGGCTTCTCACAAAGCCACAAGCCCTTAATCACTTAGATTTTGACTTAACAAGTCATTACAGAAGTCCAACTTCATCAATCTAGAGTCCAGAAACCCCAAACACAATTCTGTATGAACAGTACAGACACTGTCTCGAAATTCCCAAAATATCCGAATATATGTCGGGGACATATCTGGATATCCCATATCTGGATATCATATCCGGATATGCATATTCGGATATCTCAAAGCCCATATCCGGATATGATATCCGGATATCCATATCCGGATATCTATATCCAGATATCATATCCGGATATTTCGCGATAGAATGCAGTTTCAGCATTTCGCGAGATATCACTCCAAAGGTTCCATTTTTAACACTTCTAAATGTTAAAGCATGCAAATTTAAACCCATTTAGGTCAGTTATCACGTTGGTTACTTGATTAACTTATTAAACATAGAAAGACTCCACTTTTACCTTTAAAACTCGTGATCAAAGGTTGGTAACACTTACCCAAGGTTCAAACAGAGCAACAATGGCTCTTGGAGCTCACCACACTGCCTCTACAGTTCTGACTTGAAGGCAAACGAAAATGACACACCAAAGGTTGGTTCTTTCTCACCAAAGGTCACTCCTTGGAGCTCCCACAATCAAGGAGATGGCTCCGAACACCCAAACAAAGAAACTTAGCCCCACAACAACCAAAAACAGAGGCTGAGAAACCAGAAAAGAG